TGACTCTGTGGATGTCCCTGCAGGGGTCCGGGGTTGGGAACTCCCAAAGCCTGCTTGGGGGACCTCAATTCTTCTTGCTTCCCCTTCTCGTCTCTTTTGGAACACTCACCACCCCAACTTCTAGACTTGCTCAAAGCTAGTGAGTAGGACAGAATTTGATCCCATAACTCACCATTTTCGGTGCTCATTGCTGCTAACCACATTGCCCATGCTACCCTAATGGGGTCAGTGTGCTAACAGGGTGCTGCCCTAACCAACTGGGCAAAGCCTCACTGGTGGAATTCCAGGCCCTGGAACTGACCAGCTGGTGAAGGCTGGGGGCTTGGGGCTTGGCAGGGAGGTAGCCTGAAGCAGGAGCGAGGAATGGGATATAGGGGCAGTGACTGGTATGGTCCTGGGGCTTTCAGTGACCTGCTTGAGCTATCCATTGGCATTTTCTGATGATCTGAGGTCTCCAGAGTCTCTGCTCTCGTCTTAGACAGGACTGGAGGATCCGGGATGGCCTTCCTCTCCTCTCACCCTTCCTCCCTCTGCCCATGCTCCTCCATCCTGGATACCTGCCCTGCCTTTCTCTCCAAGTATGTGTCTATAGCCTGCCCCTCCAAAGAGACCAGCCAGCCTGGAGGGATGGAGAAATAAACAGTATTTCTGATGCTCCCCTGTGTCTGCCTGGAGTTTTATCTGATTAAGAAGTGCCCCCTGCCACCCAGTGCGGTCAGGATTGGGGCTGGAAAGTCAGGATGGCCAGCCTGACTGTCCATATGGGATGGGGCCTGTGAGACACACAGAGACTGTGTGGTAGGTAAGTGGCATGAGACAGGTGGCCCAGCAATGGACTAAGGATGTTCATTTCCCCAAACTAGTTCATGGGACAAATGGGGGTGCTAGCCTGACAACCATTACAGAGGCTTCCCTAGGGTACCTGAGTGGTGTTTTAGCCAGCGGGAGTCTGAGGAGTCATCATGGAGAGGCACCTGGACTGTGGGCCCTCTTCCTGGTCCTGTTCATGAGGAGCTGTTAGGGAGTGGAGAGGGAAAGGGGGACAGGAAAGGCAAGATGGAGGAGGAAAAGAAGGGAGGAGATAGGGGACATAGGACATAGGGAAGAGAGGAGAGAGAGCGGGACGACCCTGGGAAACTGAGAATAAGAGAACAGATTTGAGGGAGAAGCCAGAGAAAATGGAAGTTCTTCCTCCCACCTTTCCAGGAAGAGGAAATGACATCCCTTGAGGAAAGTGTTTCAACAGGAATTTTTCCCCTATAGAGCAGATGGACCAGGAACTGATTTGGTGGGCGAAGGCGTGGCAGCAGCCTGAAGGTCTCTTAGAACAGGGACAATGTAAACCGGGTCAGGACCTGGGGACTGTAGAACCTTGTATCTGTGCTGGGTCAGATGCGTCTGCCCACTCCCTCCACCCCTGACCCTTTCCAGATCAAAGTGTGCTACACATAGGACAAGACCCTGTGAGGGAGGCTCTGCCAACTCTACCCAGAGCCCCCAGGATTGCTGAGCCCAGCAAAGTGGGAGACCAGCAAAACAGGGAGACCAAGGAGCCCGGGTAGCAGCTGTGAGCTTTGGAGGCTGGCCATCCCCACTCCCCCAACCACCTGGTCTGTGTACAGCACCTCTCCACTCCCCTCATCAGCTCGCAGCTCCCACTGAGCAGATGCCACCAGCCGCACATATCAAGGATGACCACACATCTGGTGTAAAGCAGTAGAAGGGAGCTGAGCCACCGTGCTGTGCCACCTTTGGTAAGTCACTGCCCATCTCTGGGCTTCAGTTTCCTCAAAAAACAAAGGACGGGATAGGACATGGTAATGCTTAAGGGTCTAGTGGACTCTGTGATTCCATAAGGCTTGATAATCCTAACCCTACTTGAACCCCTGACATCTCTGGCTTCATTCACAGCTGAACAGGCCTGCCTTTCTGGAGTAGGATGTGGGCCTAAGACCTGAGTCAGGGGCAGCTGAGGAATAGCTGTGCTCTGAAATGAACTAGCTACTCACCTGCTCACAAACCATCCACTGCCCCAGGGTAAAGTGCTGAGTTCCCCAGCCAGCCATTCATGGCCCTTCTGATTGGCTCTCCCATGTGGCCCACCCCTCCCTGCCTCTCTTGGAACTTCTATTCTTTTAATGCTCTGTGATGGCTCACCCTCTGCACCTTTATTCATGCTGTTTCCTCAGTCTGGACACCCTTCCCCTATTCCTTCCATGGCTAAGTCTGCCTTCAAAACTCTGTTCAAGTGTCACTGCTTCCAGAAAGCCATCCTAGATGCCCCGCCCACTGCCCCCAATGTGGACCAGGTCCCCTCCTCTGGCTCATTACAGCCCTGAGTGTCCAGTGTCCCAGCCTCATCATAGTCTATAGTGACTGTTTCTTTGTTAAGGGCAGATACTCAATCTGCCTTCCGTTCTCTGTGACCCTGTCAGTCACTGACACGGGGCCAGGAAGGCATTTTTCAACAGGCTGCAGTGGGATCAGAGCCTGATCTCTTTGCCCTCCTCACAGGCAGCCTGGAAGGTGGGTTCCAGCTCCCTGGCCCCACCCCTGGCTTCGTGTGTGTTTGAGGCTGCAGTTGGGGTGCAAGGCGGGCTGGTTGGTCTCCACTAACTGCGCAGAGATTTCTCAAAGCCCCACTCATCTATATGTGTGGGGTGGCCACATTTTCCTCACCTTTTGTAGCCCCCAGCTGCACAGTAGACCTCATACCCTCACTGACACAGCCCCCAACCTCCACCAGTCCCCAGCAGAGGAGGCGACCCACAGCTGCCTTTCCCCTCTGCCTTCTCAGTCTGCCCCCACCAGGACAGCTCCCTCACTGCGCCCACCTCTGTACGTTTATTCACATTGCTCCCCCAGTCTCCTACAATCTCTCCTGCCCCACCCCCCACCCCCACTCCCAAGTCCTGCCCATTCTCAAGGACCCAGAATAAGTCCTACTTCCAAAGCTGATGCCCACGTGTTCAGGAGTGGTATCACAGGGCCCCCAGTCTCTCCACTATTCAAAGAGATATGACTATGGGGGTATCCTCTGCCTCCCCATCCAGGGGGGCCTAGCCTAGCATGTGACCAGAATGCCCCACCCCTGCCCAAGCCCCCCAAACCCCATGTTGATTTACCAACAGCTTTCCCCACATGTCCCTCCCCTAAGAAAGACTATTTCTCAGGGACAAGTTTATTACAGGGAACACACTAACTTCTTTCATAATATCTAAAGGCATACCAACTACAAAAATATCAGACTCTCAAGTGTGGGCAGCTTAGTGTGGGGCCTGGTGTGAGCTGTGATTTCGTTGCTGTAGGAGCCCATTTGCTTCCTCCTGGGCTGCCCTGCAAGCTGCAAGGCCCCAGAGCAGAGAAGGAGCTGCAGGAGAGAAGTGGTAACGTCCAAGGCTGAGTTTGGGCTGAGCTGGAGCAAGAAGCTGTCCCAGCCTGAATCACCATCCCCTGATCAACAGAAGGCTTCAGTAAGGCCCTGGAGGCTGACAGCAGAGGGAGAGGCGTAGATGTGGCCCCCTTGGCTCCACTGGCTCCTGGACCAAAGGCCTAAGCCACTGATTGCTTCCTCCAGAGTCCTCTCTCTGGCTTCCCAAGGCCAAGGAGGCTAGAGCCCTCCTGGGGCTTGTAGCGTGAACAGATCTCCACTCAACCACGGTGACTTCCAGCCTCTGGGGCTGGCCACTAGGGCCCTGATCTGGGGAACCTGCTGGCAGAGCTGGTACTAAGTAGAGAGGCTACCATAGCTGGGGTGATGTTGGGAGAGCCAGGGAGGGAGTGGGCTGGGAGAAGGGGAATCACTCGACAGAGACAAGTACACGTGGCTTGGCCTGCCCCACCCTCAGGGCTGGACACCATTAGCCGGGGCACCTGATAGGGCCTTCTTCCGGAAGGCCTGTAGCGCTGGGTTGTGCAGCAGAGTGTAGGCCAGACCCCAGCGGGCCCTGCCTTGGCGGGCCCTGGGCCCTGTTCCCTTGGCCACAGAGTCCTTGGTCTGCAGCAACTGCATCCCTGAGAAGGGGAAACCTTCTGTGAGTCACTCAGCAAACCCAGCCAAGCCCCCTCCACATACCCAGACCAGAGCAGAGTCTGAAAATCCCCTGTGTATGTGGGAAGGCTGGTGAGACTGGGGTTCTAGGTGCCAGGAGAAGCGTGGGACTGAGAGGGGTCTCATCCTGTGGGTGGCAGCCAAAAGACAGAAAGGCTGAGCTCTGTAAAAGGGATTGGAGGTGGGCTGGGACAAGAGCTTAGAACCAGCTAAGTGTCCTTCTCCCTACTACACATTCCCTAGGCAGTAGAGAGGGGAACATACTGCCTGAAAGGGAGAAGTAGGGGGTGGCTTGGGGTGGGAGGCATGACAGAGCCCTTTAGCAAGACAACCATCTCATTTTCTGTATGAGAGAGGATGTGCATGCACACATGTGGAATGAGAAAGTGTGTGTGTGTGTGTGTGTGTGTGTGTGTGTGAGTGATGAAAAGAAATTAGTGAAACAGACCAGGAAAATTCTCACTTCCCCTCTCTCACAAGCACTCCCAGGACAGAGGAAGTCAGCATTTTCCTGGCACTCACTCAGCGGTGCATGTTGGAGTGATCGGGTATGCTCATTTCTCCCATCCCCAGTGGGAAGGCATACCTTCTTCTTCTGCCCCCACTCTGAGGCCATCTTGGCGGATCAAGAGGGGCTGGGGCTTCTGCGTTCGCAGGAGCAGGGCACAGAAGGTTATCATGGCTGGATGCGACTGGCTGACTTCAATCTTCAAGAAGTTGCGGTACGTGTGGTAGCCTGGGGTGGGTGGGAGATGGCAGCGCTGGGCAGGAGGGTCCCAGACAGTCCCTAACACATACACAGGGGTGCCCGGCACACTCTGCGTGAAAGCACATGGACACCTGAGGATATGGCACATGTACTGCACATGGGCCCATTGCACACACCTGCATGGTGGTCCCAAACACCCTCCGTGAACAGATCTGCACATAGACCAGGTCCGGGCAGAGACTCCCTTACTGCTTGGGCAGCCTGAGCAACCCCCACCCTGCTTCCTGTCCTTTAACCTTACCTGGGTCGAGAGTGGCAGCTCTAGGTGGCAGTAGGCTGAGGTCCATCTGGCCAAGGTGGACAGCATTATAGAGGGCAGAGAGGAGCACTCGCCAGGTGGCCACCACAGTGCCCACCAGCACGTTGATAGGAAAGAGAAGGAAGGTGGCTGCATAGAGCACGCGCCTGCGATGGGGCAGAAAGAAGGCTGAGGTAGGTTCCCACACACACACAGCCCCTTCCTCAGGGTCAGGGTCAGACCTAGATGACCACAGCTGCTGTGTATTTATTAAGTAACTACTGTTTATTGAGTATACCTTGTGTGGGCCTACTACTCTCTCTCAACCCAGCTGGCCCTTCCAACCACCCTGGGAGATAAGCCATGTTACTCTATAGAAGGGAAACTGAGGCTCAGAGTGATTAGGTGACTTAACTAAGTCCGTCTAGCGAGTCAGTGGCAGAACTGGGGTTTAAGTCCAGGTCCACTTGGATCTTTCTATGACCTCAGTGTCTCCAACCTCCCTCCTCTGGGTCCCTGTCCACTGATTCTGAGTCCCTCTTAGGGCCGAGATCTTCCCATGGCCTTGACATCTAACACAGAATAAGGTTTCTGTTAACCATCTTCCTGCAAAGAGGGAGGCATGTGGTTTTGAGGGCACAGAGGATCCAGGGGAGAGCAGTGCTGATTCCCAAAGCAGAAAAGGCTCATGGACTATTTCTGGCCCCGTGACAAGTAAATACAGAGGTATGTTTACTTGGAGTAAGCTGGGCTGCTGCCCCCTTTCTCTGTGGGCAAGGCAAACTCTCTATGCTACCTACAGGGCTCCCTGAGAGAGAAAGCGAGGAGATGGCAGTGAAGGGAGAAGAGCACAAAGAGAGAAACACCAAAGGAGGAGAAGTTGAGGCCTGAGAGAGCCACAAGCCCAAGAGCTGCCTTACCGGTTGGTCAGCTCTGCCCACCCACGGTGAGTTGCCAGGAAGACCCAGTGAGCTGCCATGTTCTGCAGGGTCACAGCCAGGGCCAAGGTCAGCCAGAAGGGCCTGCAGGTGAGGTGGGAGGGTGTCACTGTTAGTGGCCCTCTGCAGAGGGATCCCAGAGCCCTCAGTCCCCTGCCTCTCTCACCACAAATACTCCAGGGATCGAAGGAGTAGGAGGTTCCTGCCGTGGAGCACAGGCATGAAAACCAGGAAAGCCAAGGCCATGGTCCCCAGGAAGAAGATGATCTGCTGCACCAGGAGCCCTGCCAGGATGAGAAGAAGACAAACATCAGCCTCTGGAGGACCCAGCTCACCCCTGCTACTTCTAGGAACCCAAGCGCTTTGGAATCAGGTAGACCTGGTTTCAGATCCCGGCTCTGCCACTGCCTAGCTGTGCCTCCTTGAGCAAGTTACTTTGCTTCTCTGAGCCTTGGTTTCTTCCTCCATAAAATAGGAAGAGCAGCCCCTACCTCGGAGGTTTATTGGAGAACCCAAAGAGATGGCATCTGTGGCAAGTCTTCGAAAACCATAAAGCGCTTTGTAAATGTTATTTTATTCCAATTGCTCCTGAGTCCTTAGGAACAAGATCGCATTGTATATTAATGTTTGCATTCCTACTGGCCAGAGTCTGGTACACGGTAGGTACCCAACTGTTGTCTATTAAAACAACTGGCTAATTGTTTATGTGGGATCATGTGCACAAGAGGGTTCGGGAGGTATAAAGTCTACCAAGATGAGGAATTATGACTTCTAGTGCTAGTAATTTCCCTACTCCCTGCTCATCCTTCTCTTCCTCTACACCGCCCCCCTCCCCCCAGGGGGTTGGGATGAGAACTGAAGGAACCGGCAGGGAGAGAAATCAGGCCCTTGCTTTTGCAGCAGTGGCCCCAGCCCCCTCACATTTCAGAGGGCTTTATTCACCGCAGTACCAAAAGGGAGAATCAGAAACTTGGAGCTGGGAAGGTCCTGGAAGTTAATCTACTCCAACCTCCTCAAGACAGTACTCCCTTTGCAGTCCCCATCTATGGCTATGAAACCCTGCTTGCATACCCCCAGTGACAAGGATCTCATTACCTCTTGAAGTAGTCCATCGTGGCATAGAACTCCCTCACGAAACAGGAATGTGCCTCCTTGAACTTCCCACTTTCCAGCCCTGGGTCTACCCCCTGTGTAAACACCTGGTGGCACCCGGGGGCCATCCTCATGTGAGGAGTATCCTTTCCCCAAGGGTTCCTGTGCCCCCATCCCCCACCTGAGTGAGCTTCCTGAGGGCAGGAAAGGCCCAGTGGGTCCTTTTTCTCAGTCTAGTCTCATAGCTTGCCCGGCACAGGCAGACATCCAGGAGCAGTCAAGACCTGCTGAGCACTCTCCCCTCCCTCACTGGAGTCGGTGTCTGGGGCCGGTTGAGGCCCAGTAGGGCGGGTTAGGGGGGCTCACCAAGGCAGGTAAAAGCAGTCTGGTAGGCGCTGAAGTTCATCCAACAGAATATGGCCTGGCGGGACGGGTGGGGGCTCTGAAGCAGGAGGCCCAGGTCCAGGGCAGCCCCTCGGTGCAGAGCTCGCAGGTTGGCCCTGGGATGAGGGTGCAGAAGGCAGGGATCTCAGGGAGGACACCCCCGCTAAATTTCTCCTCTGGACCAGAATCTAGGTAAACTCCCAGTCTAATTACAACCCACAGCCACGGGCAGGGAAGCCCAGGGCTGTGGGAGCCCAATGGAGATTACTAAACCAGCCTGGGAGGTCAGGGAGGACTTCCCGAAGGAGGTGCAGTCTGAGTAGAATCTTAAAGGATGAATAGGAGTAAGATGGTAGGGTGGGGTGGGGATCAAGAGAGACAAATTCAGGCAAAAGGTGCAACCTGAGCCAAGTCAGAAAAGTAAGAAGCAGCAGAAGAGTTGGAAAGTGACTTGCAGCTTGGACACCAGGACGGGAGGCAAGGTTCCAGGCAGGCAGAAGTGTGAGGGCCTTGAATGACAGCCTAAGTAGGGCCTACCCTGCAAAGAAAGATCCCTGGGTAGGACCTCGGAAGCCTAACGAGTGCACAGGGCATAAGGATCTGTTGCAAAGTGCCTGGACCTCTCCTCCCATTCACCCTTCTCCCAATCAGAACCTTCTGTTTCCCTCTGCTCACATTTCCTCAGTGCTCCTTATCATTCACATGAAAGGGCAAGGTGGGCAGCCTGACCTTCAATGTACCATAACAATCTTTCCAGTGTCCCAACACCAGCCAGGCCACCCCCTCACCCAAACTCACACAAGTCAGGTTTACCCAGCCTCTGTGCCTTGCTCACGTGATTCTCTTGTCTGTGGCACCCTTCTTCCCTAAGCTCCTGCCTCTTCTCTCATTCTCAGCTTTCTTAGGCACCTTCCCTATTAAATCCAGCCCACCCAGGTGGCTTCCTCTCAGAGGGCAAACTCCACACTCCGGCACCTACTCAGTTGTACAATAGATCACTTGCAGACGTTTCTCCACCCAGGCTGGAACACCCCACCTTCTCCACCCACAACAGGGCAGCTGGGCATCTGGACTCAGTAATGGCCTGGGCCTGCAGAGACCCTCCCCACATCTGCACTGGGCGTCAGAGCCTGCCACTAACCTGTGTGTCACCAGCGAGCGGATCAGCACGAGGAAGGTGAGCGAGCAAGACAGGACCAAGGCTGAGATGTAGCAAACTGGAGGGCAGAGAGAGAGCAAAGTGGGAGCCCAGACCTGGAGGGTCTCCTGAGAGCCTCCCAATTGCTGTCAGGGTGTGTGTGCCTGGATGGGAGTCACCCCTGCCCCAAACCCCACTCCGAGCAGAAGCCTCTTGCTACATTTCCTGTTCTCAGACCCGGTGTAAGTTGATGACCATAGCCAGCCTACACTGCCAGGTGACATGGTAGTCAAGATGTGGAGAGGCCACCTCTGAGGCTGTAGACCTGGCCTTCACTCAGGTTTTGCTGTATCCATTGCTGTGTGACTCCTAGCAAGAGATGCCAACCAACCTGGCATTGCCCTCCAGCTCCATGGCACCCCAGCTGTGTGGCCTTCAGGGGTTCATTTCATCTCTAAGCCTCAGCTTGCTCATGCCAGGCATACTGCTGTGCTGCCCATCTTCCAGCATGACGTGGGCCATAAAACCCCATCTATACTCATGTCAATGGCCTTTGTTCATGGCACAGACAATGTGAGTACATTTCAGTGTGGCCTGATCCATCAGACTGAGGGGAGATGACCACTGCTACCTATCTCCTCTAGGTGTGGCCTCCCCTCCCTGGTTCCCTGCCCACACCAGCCATGCGCACAGATCGTGAGTTTTCTGTCTCACCAGCAGCTGGGGGAGAAAGCATGATGTGTTGTGAACAAGTCTAGTATTTAAGCATAGCAGAGATGAGGCTGTACTCTTTCCACTCTACATCCACATCCAGCCTTGCCCTGTACCCTCATAGCAGCCCCGAGGAGAGGCCTAGGAAGACAAGACCAAGGAAGAAGCTGAGACTCCGAGAGTGCTTGACCTGCCAGCTGCACACTAGAAAGTAATAAAGCCAGATGTGCAACCATTTCTAGGCAGGCCCAGAATGAGCCCAGGGTGCCTGTACCCTGATCTCATCAGTGAGCTCAGGGAAGTGTTCCTGGTTTCTGTGTCCCCACCAGAGACTTGGGGGTGGGGGCAGGGGAGCAAGCCCTTGTGAAAAAGGCAAGTGCTAGTTTCATATAAACATAGGTGCTGGAGAAGTGGGCTCAGCACTGGCAGCACATTAGGATCACCTGGAGCTGTTAAACCCCAGTGGCCCAGGATGCACCCCTGACCAATTATTCAGAATTTCTGGGCATGGAACCCAGACCTTTGCTTTTGTGAAAGCAACCCTGGCGATTCTGACATGCAGCCAGCACTGAGAACCACTATACTGGGGTCTTTCCAAAGACAGAGACTTAATGGTTTATTTCAATCAGCAACTGATTGAAATCAATCAACCAATTGAGACTGCCACAGTGGTTTTCAAATGTAGGCTGGGCTCATAGGCTCACATCAGAATCACCTGGAGGGCTTGTTCAATCAGGCTGGGCCCCATCCTCAAGGTTTCTGAAGCTGGGCATGGGGCTTAAGACTTGAGATTTTGAAAGTTACCAGGTGATTCTTAGGTGAACAACTGCTCCAGAAACCCAGGCCTCCCTGCCTCCCGGGCTAACTCCTCCAGTGTCAGGAGGGGCACTTTTCTGAAAAGTAAGGCTGGGAGGAAGCTCTGGGTATGCACAGCTCTGCCCTGCTCCATCTACCCTTTGGGAGCCAGCTCAGAGCCAGCAAAGGTACATTCAGACCGTTTCTACCAGGAGATGAGGAGCCTGCCTCCTGAGACAGCTCAGGTTAATGAGGAGTGTAGGGTTAGCAAGCCCCTAGGCCC